ATTTAGAAGTCAACTGCACTTGAAACATGCCAGATTTGGCCTTGAGAAAGGGCTTTTTTTTTTCCAAAAATAAGAAATGTTTTTATTTAAATTGGATTTTGATATGAGTTCTTTTAAAATAATTTTTAAAAGCGAAATCTGAATTTAATTTAAAAATGTAGAGCCTAGTTTATTATAATCTCTTAAAATATTGAAATAAAAATAGTAAGTGTACAAGAAGCCAGGACCCACCATCAAAAGGTAGAGTTATGGATCACGTGCTATTCTATGCTAAAAAAGAACTGGAAAGAAAAAAAAAAACTTTTAAAGTCAAGCTTTATAAATATGGCACAAGAAGTCATTTACTGCATTATGATCTTGATCCTTGGGTTTGATCCAAGACTGTGCTGCTGCTATCACAGACATTGTGACTTGGCTTCTGACTTGGAAAAAATAAATCAGGATTAAATTAGTTACTATCTTAACACAGCTGCTTGTTGCAAATAAATCAAGGAAGTACAAAGGGGAAATTGGTTAAAAATAGATTTTAAAGCAAAAGTTTTTGGTCAAATTAAAATCTACCCACCTGGTACTTAGCTTCCTGTTCTCTTTACCTATCAAGTTACAGAAAGATTTTACAATAGATTTTAACAGAAGACCAGCATAAACAGCCTCTGGTGCAGAACAAAACACCTCTGTACCTAGGGGATCGCCCACATCACTAAGCTACAGGTCATGTGCCCTGCTGTTTACTCTTTTGCACCATGACTCTTGGATTACTTTCCACACCATGTTTAAGTGACAACAGGAAGGGGATGGGGAAACTGCCCCCATGCAAGCCCAGTCCATAGCCTGCCATTTATAGCACTCAGCAGAAGAGAGAGATACATAGGCACACCCAGCCTATCACAGGTCTACAACCCAAATCTTCTTCCACTTTGTGTGAATATCTGGACATTACACCATCACAAAGGTATGCACCACTATGACCGCGTCCTCCTCCTGCAGCAGTTATAAAAGAGTGAATCAGATGTCTACCCAAAGAAAACACCTAAATCCAGGACAGGGGTAGGCAACAGGTGCCAGAGCGTAGCATGCAAAGGCATTTTCTTTGACATACATGCCTTGGGGGTGGACGGTAGGGGCTGTGCAAAGTTTCAGTCGCTGATCCAATTTGGCCTGATTTGGTGCCCAAATCGCCGAATCCGAATTGAATCAGGAGACACTTTAATCTCTCTGAATCGAACTGGAACCCTCCAAATCAATTCAGAGAGATTCAGACAGATTAGATGATTTGAACAGACACAGCTTTAAATGTTTTTTCTACATGCCTCAAGGTACCAGGAGGCTCATGAACGCCAAGATGCTGGGGCGGATGGAGTGTCCCACAGAAGCACGTCTGGTCCACTTCTGGGTCTGCCGGGGAGTGCACTGCCCCCCTCCCCCCCCGGCTTGGCAACTGGTGCCTCCTGGGTCTGGGGGAGCACCCAGGGTCCTCCTGCGGCAAACTGTTGAGCCAGAGGGGTTGGGGGGGGCCCCTGGCAGGGTAGCGGGCCCAGAAGTGGACTCGAAGTACTTCTGGTCCACTTCTGGGTTAAATGCTGAGGACATGGGTGGTCCCCTTGTGCTCCTGTGGGATGCTCCATCCACCCCACCATCATAGCGTTCATGAGCCATGCCTGATACTTCAAGGTATGTAGAAAAAATATTTAAAGCTGTCTATGGTTGAATTCACTGATTCTCCGAATCAGCATCAAATCTTTAGATTCGGATTAGGCCGAATCAAATTGGGGACAGCGATCTGAATCAATGAATTGACTCACCCCTAGATGATGGTGGGGAGGGGGATAGGGCTGTACTGCCACAAACAGGAATCAGGCCCTTTGCAGCTACCCTGCCATCCACTCCGGCACACTAACGTCTTACAAGTTGAGATTACAGGTGTTTTTCGCACTCTTCTCAAAAATGTTGCTGACCTCTGATCCAGGAGCTATCTCCATATGTGAGTCCCGGGTCTCATGCAAGCACAGGAAAGAGGGGTGAGATACTGGTCACAACCTTCTCCCTGGCATTTCCTATTGCCTGGTTTAGGCCTTCCCCCAGTTCAGCATACTGTCTGCAGTGAATCCCATTCCTAGGTGCTTAACTCCTGCCCCAGTCATTATAAAAGGAACCAGGCACCTAGTTCAGGTTAGCAAAATCCACTTTTTTGGGTGGCTGGGTGCCTAGTGTAGTGGAGCTCAGTATCAGCTTGCCAACAGTTCCTTTGTTGATGTGGACACAGAATTTGTCACTCTTTACCTGAGAGGGTGTCAGTTACATGCATCAAAAACTAGCCTGTGTACTCAAAAGCAAGACAAATCTCAAAGTAAAAAAAAATAAAAAAAAAAAGGAGCAAGACAACCATGTTAAATAATACTAAAATATGCTGATTAGTGCACTGCAGCAATAGTGAGTATATAAGTGTGAATATGCAACTCTATATATAGGTGCAAGTCTTATAATGAGTACTGAGAAGTTTCTGCATCACTTATGGAATGAACTTTATGATATGCTAACAAAAACAATTGCATAACTGTTTGCATTCTGCACCAATTGACAAAGATTAAGGATAGATCAAGAGCAAAACAAATACCATATTTTCCTGACAACCTAGACTATAATACATACTTTGTTTTTGAAAGACAGGATGAAGAACTTTTTTTCAGAGTTATGGTTGCATAGGGTAGGGACAGAGCCTAATCTTCAACTGGCTCACTCTCCCTTTCCTACATAACTAAAGGTGTATCTCTAGTTGTCGATAAAGACTGGTCTCAATGGGCAAATCTATAATTTTCAAAAAAGCTAGAGTCTGTACCAGACAGCTAGGAAGTCTGTCCTAAAAATATTTGAACTAACTGTGTAGGGGGAAACTTGGTGCTCCTGCTACTTTAAGGAAAGGCAGTCTTGCAGGAGAAGCAGGTGACCGGTGAAGCAGAGAGCAAATCAAGGGAGCTATATGACCCGAAAGGAGCCGGGTTTGCAGGATGTAAATCCAGGGTCTGAGCTGTGCAGGCAGTCTGACCAGGTACCCATGGAGAGAGGAGCTCCTAAACACAAGGGCTGTGCCAAGACTCCTAACTAACACTTAAACTGGGGTAGGGATTAAAACTGGTGGTTTAGGGATTAAGACGCGAGGAGCAAGAACTAGGGTCAGGGACCCACAGCCCACAAGAGGTGAAAACAAACAGGGTTTGGGGGGCCATAGCCTGGGAGGGGCAGAGTCTGATGGAGGTAATCTGGCCTTAATCCAGGAGAGGCAGAGGATAGAGGCCTGAGCCCAGGAGGGGCCAGAAAGAGAGTCAGAAGCACCATTAAAAAGACAGAGGTCTGAACCCAAGAGGAGTTAAAGATTGTTCAAAGCAAAGGCCCAAGCCCAGGAGGGGCTGGGATGGTTAAAGGCACTGGGGCTGGAGGCCCTAACAGTGGTGGAGACTGTTCCTGGTTTACAAACTCATATTGACTGAAGGATGCTGGGGCTAAAGGCCCCTGGATGAGAGACTGACTGGACTGGACAATGGGGCTTAGTGCCCAATGGTGAGTAACATCTGCGAGGCTTGGGCATGGCTAAAAGGGGAGAAGAGGAGGCCACATAATTAGCCCTTAAGGCAATGAGCAATGACACCTGTATTCGTGAGAATGAGACTGCCTGGGGAGCCCTGGAGCAGCTTCGTTTTTACTAAATGCATAATTACATCAAGGTATGGCAGGTAAGTGAAACGGGAGATAACTCAAAGGAAATAAAAGCGACAAGGACTGAGAGGGCTCCAGGGGCATCGTGGCCACTCCTGAGGCAAAACCTGGTTACAGGCTGCAAAAGAGAGACCAGAAGCAGCTCCCAGATAGCAAAACTACCCTAAGAAGGGTTAACTTGATTGTGGAACATCATAATCATTACAAAGGGAGATTGTAAAGTGAAGAACAGTGAGCCGCTGCATCAACCGACTCCCTCAGCTATCTGAACAGTAATATATTTTGGTAGTGCTGGAGTGATGCTTAGCTGTGATAGTCCAGGAATTATGCAAGAGGCAAGGATGTTTGTGGGCATTGTCTTTATTGGGCCAACTGTACAGTTGGGATAGATTTAGACAAGCTTTCCACTGCAAAGTATTCTTCACCAGGTCTGCCTAATGATGAATGCTTCTAATTTGAAAGCTTGTTGAATTCTATCCTAACCAGACAGTAGGTCCGCAAAACTCCTTGCCTCTGAACAGTAATACTGCAGCTTCTGCACCATACAGCAGGAATCAAACCAGGGTGCTTCCAACCCTGGGCAGAAAGATCAGTTTCCCTGCCTAATACATGCAACCCATTTTGGGAGGACTGATTTTCAAAGAAGAGGCAAGTGTTGTATGAAAGCATAGTCTGAACTAAGACTATACTTTTAAGGCTTCACAAATTCCCATTCACGGTAGATATTTTATGTATAAAAGCACTAAGCAGAGCTGAGAGGAGAACAAAATTATTTACCTGTAAGTTAATCCTTTGACGAGTTTACTTCCAAGAAGATTTTGGATAGTTAATCTGGTTTCTTCCAGTAGACTTTTAGCAGCTGAATCTCCAACAGCAATAGCAACGATGCGACCAGGATCTTGGCCTTTTAAGAAGTCCTGAAATCTCTTGCTTTCATTTTGATATTCATGAGTGTCAAATCTATCCACTGCCAACACCTGTGCTGTGTCCTGATCAATCACTCTCACATTTAGCCCTCGTAAAAATTTCCTTTCAAATGCATAAGGACCAGAGGCCAGCCCTGAGGAGTATACAGTCTTTGACAAAAGAGTCCATGATAACTTCTGAGTCCCATGCAATTCCAGTGTCCCTTCAGGGCCGACACCAATAAATTTTTTGCCAAATATTGGCATATCGTCACCTTCATCTGATTTGCCATACAAGATGATAGTTGCTTTGGATTTATAGCGACACTTCTCTGCTCCAATATGAAGCGCTCCACCATCCTTTATCAGGATAAAACGAGTTCTCAAAGTAATATTTCTGGAACCATCCTTATCATCACCAAAGACAAGTAACCCTAGAGGAAATAATATTTTTTTAATATCACATTAAAAAAAAAACCAAAAAAAAAACAACCAATCAATCTTTTAAAAACTGATTCCTCTTTAAAGCACACAAGCCAAACCCTAAATTAAAAATCAAGTTAAGCAAGTTATTAAAAAGAGAAATTAAATTGTTTCCAAATGAGCTTACAGAGAGTAAAATGGGTTTTTACAGGATATCACATATGGAAGGAACTTCCAGAATACCTGCACCTTGAAAAATGGTCTTCAAGTTTTATGAAATATTGTAATTAACAATCAGTTTCACTAATCTAAGTATCTGAACAAAAAGGACTTCACTACTGATTCCACTCATCTGATCCTGTTCTTAGATACTTACTACTCAGTCTTGGTCTTCCAGGCTCCTACACAGCATCAAGCAGCTGTCCCACTGAAGAATAAGTAGCATTTTACATCTGTTTACATATCTGAGACCTTGGGGCCAGCAGTAAGTAATGTAGTAGTAGTAGTAGTAAAGAATTATAGTCATCGATTGAGTGATGACAGAAACACACCAATGATTGCAACATAAAGACAATTATGGAGATTGAAATATGGCAAGACTAACTACAAAACTGATTTAAAATTTTAAAAGACAGACATACTAATGCTTGGGGGCAGAAATAGGGAGGGAGGAGATGAAGGAACAGATTCCTGGGAATTAAAATCACTACTACATTTTTCTGGTTTCTGAGGATAAATGGGAGTTCTAGATTTCATTACTCAATCTATTTATCAAGATTACATACCACTATAATAGTTCTATTACTACATTTATTTCTACTACCTTAAGTCTATGGTGCTATGCTGACTATTGTATGCAGTCTTCTCGTGGTGCTTATTACTTCAGAACAAAGCATAAAGCTTTGCAGCATTTACCATACTACAGAAAGCATATTTACCGTAGACATGCAAACATATGCTTCGGCAAATTCTGTGCAAATAGGATTGTCCTGAATTAAGACTATTTCTCAAATAAATTGCATTTTCTTGAAGGTGGCCATTTTCACAAGGAAACCATGCAAATGTTTAAACACACTGCATGCTTCCATGGCAAAAATTGTCACATTAAAATACAATTTTGAAGTTTTTTCAACAGCAGGTTTCACTCAAATGGAACTATGTGCTTATAGAGTCCTTTCCCTGCCCCAAGCAAATAGCCATATTTTAAAATTTCTTTAGACAAAATTTGATTATCTTCAAATCAAAAATTGAATTCAAAGTTCTTACAAGTAACACATTCACATTTCATTGCATATTTTCTGAATGTTTACTACTAATGTAGAAGGGTAAGCATCCTAGTAGTACTCAAGTGGGGGAAAGGAAATAGCTATACATCAATAAAGGCTTTTATATGCCAATTTTCCTCCTCACCTCTTTCCCATTTTCAGCTAGTATTGGCACACTCGCATACATGTGTCAAACATACCTTGACCAAAGGTATTTTAACACATAAAAACAGTTCATGGCTTACTTTACTACTACATACCTCCATCCTGTATAATTATAGAGTGTACTGTAGCATCTGAATTCAGACGAAACAAGTCCCCATTTTTTATGAGAACTCTCTTTTCAGTATCTTGGCCAGGGTTCCAGTTGCTGAGACGAGGGTTCTGATCTGGACAATTCTCTAAAATACAATATGCAGCCTAATTTAAAAAAATGGCCTAAAATATTAAGACAACATTGCTGTATATGGCATTACTCAGAAGCACATTAAGGGTAGTGTCAGAAAGACAAGTCAGGGATTTGCTTCCTGTACAGCAACAAGAGGAAATCACAACTCATATGATCCATTTCTTGTAAATAAGATGGACTATGACCATTAGTGAGGAATTACCTTGTTTCTTTTGTTGTCTTCAGGAAAACATTTCAGCTACTAGCACCAACATTAAAACTTATGCAGCAAAGCCAAGGACAGGTTGACCATGCTTCAATTGAAGAAATATATCCTTGCTCTTAAATGAGAACATCATAAAATGATCCTGATCAAAAGGGACTAAACATTTAGGTACTAGGGCAACAAATCTATATAAGCTAACGTTACAGAACTGTAGAACTCACTACATTCAGAAGTAGTGGAAGTAGTTTATTTACTGCTTTTCCTGAGACAATAAAATAAAATAAGTAAAATGGTGAAATTTATGGTTTTCACCAAAAGTGTACAAAAAAATTACACATTCTACCATTTTGAACAACAGTAAAACAACATATTCTATGACGATACAAAACAAAAAAGGTAAAAGGAAGTAAGGTGAAATAAAACAGAACCATCTGATTTTGGTCCTTATTCTTTAGTCTAGTAATGCAAATAGGGCAGGCTGCAAGTTTTCAGAGAAGCCTTTTTTCTACAGCCATTAGCCCAATATTTAAAATTTTCAAGTAATGGAAAGATCCATTTTCCTCTTATTTCTTCAAAGAATAAAGACCACAAATAGTTATTTAAGTTACCTACAGTAGTATTAAAGTGATGTTATAGCTGTGAAGTTCCAGGTATTATGGGAGAGGAAAAGATTTTTTGAGGTGGTATCTTTTATTGGACCAACTCATTGCTTGAAATAAAGTTAGCTCAATAAAATTTGACATATTTTTGAGTGCATCTCTGTGAGCAGGGGTGCTCTTTTGCCCCATGCCAAGGTGAATTCTATTGACTCTTGCCTCTTCCTCCTACTCTCCTGCTACGCCTTGATGGAAAATTGATATTCAGGAGGATGGATATTTCTTGATTTACAAGTCAATCCAGTATGGTTGTGGGTCTTCTGCACGGCTTCACTTCTCCTACACACTGGCCCTTGCCTCTCCAGTTCATGATAACTATTCTCCACTTATAGTGAGTGGGGAATACCCTACAAGGTCACTTCTCAGGCTCTTGTCCAGTTCTTTCCCCATAGCGTTTGTATTTGTGTTCGCTGGCCTAAACTCTCTGTGCCTCCAACAGGCAGGTGACACAAGAGTCAATTCAATTAATACATTTAGGTTTCTTCCGGGCCTTGTCTCGGGCTTCACTGCCTTAATCTCTTGGCTCGGGCCCTAGGAGCCGGGTAGTGTTCAGCTAAACTACAAAGCAAATCTTCAGGGAATTCCCCCTCATCCTGGTACCCTTCTCTAGTCCTCAAAAAATAACTCAGAAGGAGGGCTTCTTCTTCCTGGCCCAATTCCTTCTTTTCTTTCATGACACAAACTAAAGGGGAATCACTTGGATTACTTGTCACTTCTCAAAGACCCTCTAGCCCACAGCCCCCTGGCTTATGCCTGGTTTCTTTCATCACCAATATGCCACAGGTAATCCCTCCTTGGTTCTGGCTGTCTCAGTTTTCTTCTCAGGCCCTCACTCCTCCCAGAGTGGACCTGTTCTCTCTCGTTCCCCCTTATCTTCCTGGATGACCTTCCCCAACCATTAACTGTCCGTTGGGACCCTACCCTACAGTGCTAAGTCCCATATCATCCCTCTTTCTGCATTTTACTTATCTTTAGGAAGGCAGGGGAGTGATCTTTTGCTCGTGGCTCATCTTGGTCCCTACGGGAGGGTCCAGAATGCAGGGACTTGTTCTTCTTGGATCCACCCTACTAGGAGCTTCCTATGCTGTTTTCCCCTCAGAGGGACACTGACCTCCAAACCTTTCTTTGGCATTCTCTTTTAAGTTGCCCAGCTCTCTCTCCAGACCAATTGGGATCGACTTCCTGGAGCATATGTCTTCCTGCTCCTGGAGTCTGCCTGCTACCCTGTTTATACTCGGGCTTCTTTTCCCACGCACTGGGGATGCATCGCTTGCCTGGACCTGTCCCAGTAAGTTCCCCCACAATGTGTTCAGTCCCACAAGAGCATACCAGGGGCTTGGATATGACCCTGCTACAATCTCATTCTTCCCACAAGAACATATCCTAGATGAATATGGGGTCTACCTGGCCATGACAGCTGCAGATCTCAAAGTGAACTGTAGTTATTTTACTGGCCTCTCAATTGTAGTTTTGTACTGCAGATGGGTTTCTATGCCAAACACTACATTCAAGAATTTGGTTAATTTTTAACTAGCTGCCTACTGCAGTGGCAGAGATCAATTTACATGTACACTCCATAGAGAGAGAAGTTGCAGACATGTTTCAAGAAATGCAAATAGTTGGAAGGAGATCTTTAAAAAAACAGAATAGATGGCAAGACTAAAGGGCCAGCACCCAACCATTGTTCTAATGCTGGAACTGGCTTAGCTCCATGTCAACAGGAATGCACAGACAGCCAGCTCCTTTCTCCGGGAAAGGATCTCCCAGCAGAGACAATCCAGCCTTAGAGTTTAAGATAAGAAGTGTAGGTACAGTAAATGATAAGTAGGCTTATCTAAGGAAAACAGGCTTGCCATCTTACAACACGAGGCTATCTATTCATTTAAATTGCTGACCAAAAGTCTTCTATTAAATGAATTTATAATAACCACACCGATTTTTACATAAGCCAAAGTTTTACTAATAGTAAAAAGATGAACAGACCTACATATATAGATGGTATGAACATCTGACCAGAAGACCAGTATGGGATAATACAAAATCTACAGTAGGAAGGAAGGAAGCAGACAATTATGTAGGACAACCTAAAAGAGTAGATAGTAAGTAAATGATGATATAAACCCTCAACAAATGGGCTGGGGAGGTTGGGGGGATGAGAAACAGGAAGTATTTCCTCAATAATGATGTCTGCAAGTCTTCTGAGAACTCACTAAAGGAAATGGATGCCCCATTGCTTGAACTGTCCAGAATTCAAACGCGCATAAATTACGTAGATTGCACACTCCCTGAACAATGGCAAAGGCAAACATTCATGCTGACACAATGAGTCAGTAACTTTATGATAACTTGTATGAATCACAGAAGTGTGCGATAAAAAGAGACCTAGTAACTGCATCTGTATCTCTGTTGCAGAGACAGGAAGGCAGAATAGGATGGAAATTATAACATAAAAAGCTTTAGGATTCCAATAAATTTAACTTTAAACTACAGGCACAAAATTTAGTTCCTCTCTAAGATCATTATGTTTTAAATTATTAAATATAAGTCAGTTCTGTGACAAGTAAGTTAAGACTGGCCCACAATAAAAAGTTCAATGACACTTTCTTAATAATTGTACTGAGGTAGAGAGAGGCACCAAACATTTAATACTGGGCCACATTATCTTATAAAAATATCACCAGTTATATTTTACAAAGTATTACAGGTAAAGCTGGCAGCAGCACCTCCTACAATTTAGGCTGCCTAATGCTTTCCATTACATATTTGCTTTTAGTTGCACGTAACTGTCAAACTTTAACCATTCAGTCTGAAAAATGTCTACGCTGAGTGTCTGCCTAAAGAAAAATGGTTCAGCTGTTCTTAAAGGACAGAGCTAGGGGGAAAATAATGTTACTTTGGAAGTACTAAAAAAAAGCGCACACTCTCTCTCTCTCAAATCTGACAGACACTTCACTGCGAAGCTCTAGCACCTCCATGTTGGGGAGCAAAGGCTTAAAAAAATCAGCAGCAGTAAAAGGGGATACTTGCTGGCCTGTACTCATCCACAGAAACATTTTACTTTCCCTCCTGTACAGCTATTAAATTTAGAAGGCGTATTCTGTTGAAATATGATCAGTAGAGACTTAGCATGGTGCAGCTAGTCTCTGAAGAGCTTGTCTGCCTTCAGCATATACTAGCTCAGGGCTGCAAGTGACAAGGAAAACAGTCGGCAACTGTTCCTGTTGGTCAGGGGCTGCCATGGCACAAATGGCATAGTACTGAGAGTAGGGGGACCACCTTTCCCGTGTTCTGTGGTGACCCAGACCTCAAGGGGAAAAGGGAAAAGTCAGACTTCTCACCCCCTGTGTTCTAGTTTGAAAGAGAACAGGTGCAGAGTGTGACAAGGAGGAGGGTAAGACCAGAGATGACACACACAGAATGGGAGGAGTGCAGAGGACAAGGGTTTTACATACCGTACACCCGCTTCTAGTACCTGGAACAGAACACAAGATAGAGTGGAGCAAAGCCTTCTAAGTCTCATTTATGCTGCCCATTAAAATAGCTGTAAAATTACTGGCAAAAATCAGTCTCATTACCATCTAGTAGTTCAAACAGAAGATACCAATCTACTGCTGCCACCATTTACAATGACAGGCAGTGCATCTACATGAGATGCTTACTGTGCAATTGACTAATTAGCTGCACAGTAAATATCTCAGTGTGTACATGCACCCCTATTTGGCTGAAGTAAGCTAATTTACTCCTCAGCAGGGTAGTACTTGTAAATACTTGTAAATACAAGTACTACCCTGATGTGGAGTTCTTTTGTGTGCTGCAATGTACGTGTAGATGCTTCCCAGCTGGCTGCAGCATGAGGGTGCTTCAGTGCGGGAGCTAGCCCCACACTGAAGACTGAAGCTCCCTTGTGCCCCAGTCAGCCCCCTGTCCCCTACCGCAGCACACTGAGCCAAGGAGAAATCATCCCTGGGCTGGCAGGCTGACCCCTGAGGCTGACTCCACATGCTGTGCATGAACAAACTGCGGAGCTTATTGCTCCAGAGTTAATTGCTCCCAGGTACATGTTCAAATGCCACACCCAGGAGCAATTAACTCTGGAGCAATAAGTTCTGTTGTTTATTCAAGCACCATAAT